AGAAGAGGGGAGCTGCAGGAGTGGGGAGGGGGCTGTGAGGTGATGTCTTCTGGGCATGGCATACCCACTACACTCAGGAACTCACTGCCGTTGTGGTTACCTGGGGACCCACATGATGGAAGGAAGTCAAAAAGACCAGCCAGTGCTAAGCCAGCGCGCCAGCGGGCAGGAGTAACTGGACTCTGGGTTACAGGTGTGCCAGTGTGGGGGTGGGGTGGTGGACGTGAGGTGGGAGGGGGACATGTTGGAAGGTGTCTGGAGAGACAGAGAAGAGCGTCCTGGAGTGGATCTGATCAAGATATATTGTACATGTGGGTGAAGTGGTCAGAGGATAAATAAAAGATACTCTAAACATTAAAAAAAAATGAAAAAAAAATTTTTAAAAAAAGGCTTATGTTCTCAACAGAAGAGAAAATTGGCCATGAACTATGATTCTGGTTAGTGTGTTTACTGCCAAGACCAATTAAGTTATTCGTTTATTTAAGAAAGCTTTCCGACTTAATTAGTGGGCTCTCTTGTAGTGGGGAAGCAAGATGTATTTGAATTGCCGTTACCCTTGTTTGCCATGGACACATGCCAGTGACAGACGGACAGAAAGTGAAGTAGATGGACATAAATATGGGGCTGGCAGGGCTGGAGAGCTGGCTGATCGGTTAGGAGCACTGGTTGTTCCTGCAGAGGACCCGGGTTCAGTTCCCAGCATCCACATGGTGGCCTCACAACCATCTGTAACTAGTTCCAGAGGATGTGATGTCCTCTTCCGGCCTTTGAAGGCACCAGGCACACACGCAGTGCCCAGACATCACAAAACACCCACACATTTAAAATAAAGTCCTTGCTTATAAAATAAATAAACAAACACGGGGCTGGTGGGATGGCTCAGTGGGTAAAGGCATTGCCACCAACCCTGGTGACCTGAGTTTGATCCCTGGGGACCCACATGATGGAAGGAGAGGAGCGATTATTGCAAGTTGTCCTCTGACCTCCACACAGACATAGGAGTCTATGGTCTATGCCCACACACAGTAGATAAATGAGTATAAGTAAAAATGAAAGTGAGTATACACCATAGCACCCCAGCTTAATCTGGAAATGAAGTTTCCCCTCAAAATAGTGGAAGAAGCTGGCGTTGAACTCTTCCAATGAATGTGTCACTCATGCCTTCCACTATTAAAATGAGGCATTGAAGCTCATTTGGTTTCACTTCCTTCATGGAGGCCGGAGGTAAAATGGCGGGACCACTGGTGACGGACTCAGGCACAGAATGCTCCATTGGTTGGGAACTAAACACATCCTCACAAACAGCAAATCAGCCAATCCAATGGGTGATGAGGCTAGAAATCACCGGGGCCAAACTACACCCCCAAAATAACAACTCAGAAACTATCTCCTGTGAGTGATAGGAATTTTCTCCCTGAAGGAAGATAAATTGAAAAATGTTTTCTCAGGAAGTCTCCAAATGTGTTAAGACTGGATCTTTCCGTATGTGTGTGTGTGTGTGTCATGTGTGTCTCTGTGCATGTGCATATATGTGTTTTTCTATGTGCACATGTCTGTCTCTCTGTGTGTTTGTGTATGTGTGTGTGTGTGTGTGTGTGTGTGTGTATCTGTGTTCTTTTTAGGAGATAAAGAAGAAATTTAAACTGGGAGTAAATTATGAAGGAAAGAGTGTGTATGGATGGAGCATGGGTGCAGAGTAAGGCTTCATGATCCCCCTGCATCAGCTCGCCAGGAGCTCCACTCCCGCACCCTGCTCTACTGAAGACCCATGCGCTTATGAATGTTGGCAAGAAATGAAAACGCTTGTTCAGGTTGGCTTGACTGTTAAGCCACGCCAGATAGCCAGGCAGCCTCGGCGAGCACAATGGATCCACTGTGCAGGACTCCCGCAGTCAAGAGTGTAAAATGGGCGATTAGGTTTCCTGGGCGCTGGCTAAGACCAGGTAAAGAACATGGCAGTGCTCACCTGACTCTCTTCTTGTCATTTTATTTCTTTAAACAAGAAACAAGGCTTTGTTTGTTTGTTTTGGTTTTTCGAGACAGGGTTTCTCTGTGTAGCCCTGGCTGTCCGTGAACTTGCTTTGTAGATCAGTCTGGCCTTGAACTCACAGAGATCCACTTGCCTCTGCCTCCCAAGTGCTGGGATTAAAGGCGTGTGCCATCATGGCTGAAACAAGCCTTTTAGATGAACAAAGATCTCATAGGAATTCCTACCCTCTCACGCCCCTCCCCCAGGGAAGCAACTGGTGGGCCCCTTTTATCTCTAAGAATTCTACCCTACTCTGTCTCCATCATCCCTGGATCAATACCATATCAGAAAGTGGTTGCCATGGATGCCTGGGTGATAACTCAGGAGAGGGGCAGAGACTTTCATTTCCTACAAGGAAATACATTTCTTGTTCTGTCTTCAGAAATGACCGTTTGCACCAGTCAGAAGTGAGCTATCAGGATGGCGAAAAACTTCTCTGCACTGACACTTCCCTGACTTGCTGGAAGGACTGGGGCGGGTCTTCCCACTCAGAGCACCTCAGGCAGCCGCCATGCCCTACCCCCAGGATGAATAGACACAGGAGTTAACTGACTTCATCCTATCCCCACGCCCCTGAATTCTGGGAAAATCTGTGCTTGAGGCAGCTGATTCTGTCCTTAGCATCACTTGTCTCCCAGGGGAGGATTTCTAATAGCAGAGCAAGCCTTTTATCGCCCCGTTGGAAACCATTTCAGACATTGGTCTTGGGCTGAAACAGCATTGGGGTTGGCAGTGTGGCTCAGTGGGAAGATCACTTGTCTAGTGTTTGGAAGGCCCTGGGTCTGGTGCTCTGCACCTAAAGAGAGAAACAGCAGACCTAGGCAAGTCTACTTTTGCTGTTGTTCTGGGGACCAAACTCAGGGCTTCGGGCTTATTAGGTAGGAAATCCCCACCCCTACCTTGTATCTATGGAAAATAACACAGTAGACCTCTTGATGGAGCTGCGAAATCTTTCTTTGGTCTTTTGAGATGGTGTCTTAGAGCCCAGGCTGGCTTGGTACTCCTTGGGTATGTAGCCCAGGCTGGCCTCCAACTCAAAATTATCCTGTCACATGCCCAGTGAAGGAATCACACACACTGAACCTGACTCAGAGGAGACATCTAAATAACAGAAATGGGATAGTAGTTACATTCTCCATTATTCCCCTAAAACTATCCTTTTCTAAGTTTCTAAAAACAAAAGAAAAGAAAAAAAAAAGAAATAAAACAGTGACGAAGAGAACAGAAGCAACATTAGAAACAGAGAAAAAGGAGATTAAAAGATGAAATACAAGAGATACATAAAAATGCCACAATGAAAATCCATCCATTTGTAATGGTAATCCAAAAAATAATTTAAGACAAAAAAGACCCATCATGATTCCTTAAAATCATCAAATATAAAGTTGATGACCAATTAAAGTACATTGGGGCTGAATTCAGAAGGTGGGTAGGGCCATGCCAACTGATCCCAGGACCGAGGTCATGATATTTTCAAATCCCTCAGAGTGGAAGGCTATCCAGGAGCTGACCACCTGATTGCTCCAGCTCCTTGTCCAGCCTAGAGTCAGACCTACAATGTCTGCTTTGAATACACATGTCTGGTTCCTTAGAAAGTGCCATTCATTTATTGACCCCCCAGTAACTGTTTTGAAAAATTGACTGTGACCTTCCGACTGTGTCTACCACATCCAAGTTCAACAGCCTGAACTACAGACCCTGCTCTGGTTCTCTTAAATCTGCATGGTAAACAATGTTAGGGATAGACTGCCAAATGGGAAAAAGTTTCTTAACTCCTCGTGGAGCGAAAATGAAAAACTAAAACCAAAACAAACAACAACAAAAACCAAAAACGGTGCTTCAGGAGCACACAGCGTTAAAATTAACACACTAATTAATCCAAAGCGAGGAGGATATTCCAGAAGACATCTTCCTCTAACTTCTTGGGATGGGTCAAATGAGAGCCCCTCTAGGTTACCCCCCAGATCTGTCATCAAGGAATCCCCTCCAGGTCGAACTTTAATAAAGAGACGGAAAGCCAGCCCGCTGTTTACAAGAGGTAAGGTGCTCGCTTGTCTAATCTCTACAAATCGTCAGACTAGCCCTTGGCCAGCCCTTGCGATCCAGTCCTTCACTCCCGGGCCCATCACATGATCCCCCTTCCAGCGTCCCGGAACTCAACCCTCAGGGAGACCTCGGATTCGTAGAAGCGGAACATCGGGTGTCCAGGTGTCAGCGTTGCTGCTGTCCCCACCCAATGCCACCGGGACCCGGGCTGCCGGTGTTTTTCCCCAGGCGCCTGGCTGCCAGGTCAGAAAGCCACGCTCCGAACGCTCTTCTCTGGTACCCCATTCACCCGCTCTCCCTGGACTCTTCGATGCTGGCCCTGTTCTGCCCACACCCGTCTGTCTTGTCCTTTCGTGGGGACCCCTCCCGTCACGCAGCTGTCCTAAACTTTCATGAGGTCCTCTTCACATCCATTGAGAGGGCACAGTTTTCAGAACCCACTGCCCTGGCCTCCCTTGAGGTCCTTTGCTTATTCTCTGTCTTAGTCCCTCTTGGGTCCCCTTCCTTCTTTCCGCTGCCTGGGTTCTCAGCCTGAGTCCACTTGCTCAGTCTGCAGTCCCGGTCCTGAGCTCTCAGCGTCTCCTCTGCTCACTCCACGGTTCCGGTCCCTCTGTGGGTCCGGTCCGCTCTCCCCACTGGTGATGGCTGGGGCGGATCTCCTCGTTCATCCCACCGTCACCGTCCCTCCGGGGTCCTCTCGCTCATCCCACTGCCCTCCGGGGTCCCTCTCCAAGCTCCCTCTTCAAGTCGCCACGTTAGTCCCACTGCCCGGTCCCGTCGTGGGGTCTCCTGGCTCACCTGCGGTATTTCTCGGTCCCCCTCCTCATCTTACTTTCCCCACCCTTCTCGGCGTCCCCTCTCTCACCCGGGGTCCCACTCGTGGGGTCCACTCGTCACCCCGCCGTCCCTGTTCCCCATCCCTCACCCGTGGTCCCTCTCGGGGTCCCCTCGTCACTCCTCGTCCGGTCCTTCCCGGTCCCCCGAAGCACTGGCAGAGATCCGCTAGCAACTCCGCTCCCGGGATGCTCGTGGCCGCTGCGCCGGGTCCCCGCGCCGCCGGGACTCCGGCTGTCACTCTGGCGCCCGCGCTGCGCTCTCACCTCAGCGCTGTCAGCCGCGGCCCCGGCGCCGCCGCCTCCTCTGACTCGTGCCCGGAGTCGCTCTCGTGCTGGGTCCTCGCGTGCTGGGCCCCCACGCGCAGCCTCGCCTCGCCAGCCCCGCGTCGCGCCCCACTCTCCACGCAGGACCC